CAGGAGAGTCTTGACCGATGCACGCCTGACTGGCATGATACGACGCTTGTCTGAATGACATAGTGCCTGAAATAAATATTCGACGCTTGCCGAGCAATTTTGTGGCTTGACCTTTATGTATTCTGTCCCCAGGGGCCCCCCATCCATTTTCTCTCTCAAGAAAATGTCAGGATCACAAAATACAAATACATTTTGGGGTGCACCTCGAGAGATTTCAGGGTAAAAAAAAAAAATCACATTTTTACATTCAACTTTATGGGCTCGGAGACTGTCGATAGTTAAATGGAAATGAATAGTATCAGGAACAAGTCTTGAGTTGTCCAGGGGCTTCCTTCCAGTAGCGATGGGAAATAACCTTATAAGAACACGATCGTTCACAGATTAATTATTACGCCCCTTTATCGTACATCTTTGAGACTATTTGAACGTGGGAAGTTAGAGGTGGTTTCTCAAATCCTCTCATTCGTCGCTTCTCAACGAAAGTGGACATCCCAGATGTCTGCCTGGACCTTGTCTGGACTTAACGAGTAGTATCCCAAAGTTAAATACTATTAGTTCGGTATTTGATTCCAATGTTTAACTCCCTGAAAGCACCCAACGGCATGACGGAGAAAATGATTCGGAAAAGTTTCGGAACTAGGACGCAAGCTTTTTTTTTTGACGCAGTAGGTTACAGGGAACGGTTGAGACATCACTCCATTTTTTTTCCGGACTGTCGAAATGTAACTCTTGATGTCCTGTGGTCATCCACTCTTCTAATCCAGACGCCCAACCATGGGACATCCTAGTACCACACATACCAGTGTAACCGACAACAAACACTGGAAACATCGATATGAGTTCTATGTATAATTTTAATATGCCTCTTCAAACCTGACAAATCAATGTACTTCACAATACAACTTGTTAACTTATCAACATTCAACTTCTCAATCTATCTAGCTGAATTCCCACACACAGAACAAGCTTTGCCTTGAACATCACACAACCGCCATCTCTGTCCTCTGTCAACAACCAAAACTAACGCGTCATTTCCCCCCATACACAATTACGTCACAACACTCTCAGACAAACGATACAGCTACACATAAAATCTCTAACTAAACATCTTTTCCCTATCAAACATGAAAACAATGATCTACCCATAACAACAGTGATTCTCATACCCTTGACACGGACCCTAGCCTGCATATTATCATGGCTTTATCACAACACTGAAATGAACTTTCTGGGGCATCCATGTGTCCCGGATATATTTCAGAGACCTTCTCTGCTGACAGTGTCGAGAGCCATTGTTAAGTCCACATAGGTGGAGAAGAAGTTAACATTCTGTTCCTGACAGTTTTCCTGCAGTTGTCGGGCCGCGAAAAACCATGTCGATAGTTTTGAGATATTTTTTAATATTGTTTTGACTTTCTTTTGGTAGTGACTCCTCAAGATGCAAATTGCAACGATTTAGAAAGAATCTAACCGGTATTTAGCCTGCAGTGGGGAGAAAAGATATTCCACGACACTTGTCACAGAATGGATAGCTCCCTTTACGCTTATACAGTTAAACAATGGATGTGTCCTTGAAATCCTGTGGTATAGTCTCTTTCTGCCACATAAGTTTGAACAGCTGCTGAAGGAAACCTTTCAGTTAGAGCTGTTCTGTCATTCTTGTAAATTTCATTCATCATATGGAACTCTGCCAATCATGAGACGGGATATAGTGTTAACCAATCTAAAAGTGCCATAAAATAACTAAAGCAGATTGATATCATATGGGTCCGCAGTTATGTTATGATAAAAAGTAGGTACATATTGATAAATGTGCAAGTTCAGAATCTTTCATGTCTTCAAGTTAAATAAATCAGACTATCTTTCGCAAAAATCCCAATCTTAACCCATTGGATTAGAGAAGCTGCGTACTCAAAGTGGGACCGAGTCTCACTGAGAAAATTCATTTTTTTTACCCCCACAGTTCTAAAGATCTTGATGCCAACCTTTAGACGGCATGTGTATGACTGATTGTAAGTTGATGCCAACCTTAAGATGACATGTGTATGACTGATTGTAAGTTGATGCCAACCTTAAGACGGCATGTGTATGACTGATTGTAAGTTGATGCCAACCTTAGGATGGCATGTGTATGACTGATTGTAAGTTGATGCCAACCTTAAGACGACATGTGTATGACTGATTGTAAGTTGATGCCAACCTTAGGATGGCATGTGTATGACTGATTGTAAGTTGATGCCAACCTTAGGATGGCATGTGTATGACTGATTGTAAGTTGATGCCAACCTTAAGACGACATGTGTATGACTGATTGTAAGTTGATGCCAACCTTAAGATGACATGTGTATGACTGATTGTAAGTTGATGCCAACCTTAGGATGGCATGTGTATGACTGATTGTAAGTTGATGCCAACCTTAAGACGACATGTGTATGACTGATTGTAAGTTGATGCCAACCTTAGGATGGCATGTGTATGACTGATTGTAAGTTGATGCCAACCTTAGGATGGCATGTGTATGACTGATTGTAAGTTGATGCCAACCTTAAGACGACATGTGTATTACTGATTGTAAGTTGATGCCAACCTTAGGATGGCATGTGTATGACTGATTGTAAGTTGATGCCAACCTTAAGATGACATGTGTATGACTGATTGTAAGTTGATGCCAACCTTAAGATGACATGTGTATGACTGATTGTAAGTTGATGCCAACCTTAGGATGGCATGTGTATGACTGATTGTAAGTTGATGCCAACCTTAGGATGGCATGTGTATGACTGATTGTAAGTTGATGCCAACCTTAAGATGACATGTGTATGACTGATTGTAAGTTGATGCCAACCTTAAGATGACATGTGTATGACTGATTGTAAGTTGATGCCAACCTTAAGATGACATGTGTATGACTGATTGTAAGTTATAAATCCCATTCATTTCTCTGGTAATCTTTTAGTAGGCATTACCTGACAGTTTAAAAACAAAATATTCTTATTTGTGTTTATTTGTAAAGCTAGTAAATTCATTATTAAAGCACACACTGTATAGCGGCAGTGTTTTCTGCTTATATTGCTTAGAAAATATTTGTTTGTTTTGCATCAATGAAGCCACTTGCCCCAGCGATGTAACAGATTTTTTTTACATAATAAAATAACACTATTTTTGTCTTTGTCTGGCTTGAAGACTTCATGTATGTTGAGGACGACCAACAGCGTAATAACAACCAACACCATTTTTTAATGATGGATCCCTGGAACATTATGGGAAATGTCAATTTTGAACATATGGCTATGGGTGACATCATTGAAAACATCACTTCATAAATATGACTGCGTCGGACATCTTTATAAAAAAAATCACTTCATAACACATGACTATGGGTGACATCATTGAAAACTAAACTTCATAACAAAGGGACTATGACGTGTGACTTCATTGAAAACATCCCTTCATAACACATGATTACGAGTGACATCATTGAAAACATCACTTTGAAACATTAGTTATTTCTTTCATCATTAAACTCATCATTGGTGTCATCACTATTGGTCGCAAGCTTGACTATAACATCAGTTGATCATTATAAATATTAAATTATTAAATGATGTCATCAATGCCATCTCCATTATATTTTACACTGCTGGCTGTTTTACCATTACCTTTTTTTTTTCGCTACAAATAAAGTTTGAACGTTTCTGCTTGTTTTAAACACTGTATCACAGTTAGTCATAATATGATGGCCTCCAAAGAACTCAATTAAATTTGTAAGTAAACTCACACGTCACGCTACTTTTCAATGTTATTCCCCCCATTTTGTCAGGAATGCTTTGCCAAAGCCTTTATGTTGTAATAGGTGTGAACTTATTCAATCACTGTACCGGTACTTTGTTAAGATGGTGAATTTTCTTAGGAAATAGAACACTATAACTATAGAAGGAATTGAGGCATTTATAATGTCTTATAATATGAATGATTGTTTATCAATTATCAGGGAGAGCAAAAAGTGTGGTTGGTTGAATTGGAGTGCAATTACTTATATTTTTAGTCTTGATGACTGGCATTGCTTGAAATATATAAATACAGCAAGTCTATTGGAGCGGACAGAGCTTCGATACACTACAGTTGAATGATATAATATCAAGTTTATTTAGAAAAATTGATTTTTTCATGCTTTGGAAAGTTAGCTTATTTCAGTATTTGTTTTACATTATATTTATCAAAAAGATATTTCTGTCAATTGTTTTGTTAAAAAAAAAAATCATCTGGGTTATCTGTTCAAATTATTTAAATGTTATTTATTGCATTTGATAATTGCATTGTTTTAAACAACAACACATGTTTGATAATAATGTTTCCTAAAATTAAAATGCAATTGATAAGAAAAATTGTCAGGAATTTTAAGATACCAATATCATTTTAAAAGATAAGTTTTTTACATTTAATTAATGAATATTGGCACATGTTATTTTTCCTAAAATTATTAAGAGAGTCTACCTTACAACTTGAAAAAAAAAGTTTTCATGTAATAGCTCAGTTTATCATTTGATATTTCTTATGACCTTATCTCAATAATTTACCTTTTCATGGCCACCGTTAATTTTGAATTTTTTCTCAAATCTCAAATGATGTTGCAGTTTTTGAATGCTAAAGTTCTTGACAGATTATGAGATTGTCTATTTATTTATTTTTAAAAAAATCCACATACTACATTGACAAGAATTTTTATTGTTTCAAAAGAATGTGAATAAATGTAAATATTGGACAAAGCTGGAATTTATATTTTTGACAATATTATTTATGGTTCTCAAACTTGAATTTTTAATAGGACTAACAAAGACCAAAGGGTCTTTTAAGTAGTTCTTTTAAGTGTGGACTTATTTTTTTTGTTCATGGAATCACAATTTTATGATCCTTTTTCTCATAACAAAGAAAAGTTTTGGAGGATTTTACTGTTTTTTTCAAACCAAATTAATTTTCACATAAAAAAGCCACAGCAGTATTAAGTTTTACAATTCAAATTCTTTATTAAAAATAAAGAAAAGAAAATTTGTTAAAACATTTTTCTCTGTTATCAAAGCGCTGAATTGGACGCATGATACATAATGTGATTGTATTGTGAGCAGGGGGGGGGGGGTCATGACTTAGGCAGGTTGATTGATTCAAAAGTCTGTAAGCTTATAAATACATGTTTGTTTATTCAACATTATTAAAGATGTTAAGTTGTTTGGTAAAATGAAGAAAAGAAAATTTGTTAAAACATTTTTCTCTGTTATCAAAGCGCTGAATTGGACGCATGATACATAATGTGATTGTATTGTGAGCAGGGGGGGGGGGTCATGACTTAGGCAGGTTGATTGATTCAAAAGTCTGTAAGCTTATAAATACATGTTTGTTTATTCAACATTATTAAAGATGTTAAGTTGGTTGGTAAAATGAATAGAGTCCTGCAAGTATATTTTCACATTCATATTTTAACATATGACCTACGACAGCAAGCAATTAATTTTTTAACACCTTTTTTTTTTCAATTTGGATATTTTTTTTAGCTCTCTCTTAAATGGAAAAATATGTAACTTATATTTATGGGCTATATAATATGTTCAATAAATTATTATACCGAATTTAAGTTATCTTTTCTTAATTTTAAATATACAAAAGATGTCTTGTTTAGCAGATTTGAAGAAACGTCCATACTTCATTGATATATAAACATTTTTGAAACTTAGTTTTGTTTTCAAACAGTAACTAGCGATTATTAATTATAATCATTAATAGATTTTTTTTCTCTGTTTGCTATGAAAAAAAAATGAAATCTTATTTTATCCTATAACACAGGCTTCAATAGGTTTCTGTTTTATTTTGATATAGCCTACACCTCAGAATGATTTGAGAAACAATCAGTGAGTTGAGGTTCAATCATCTGGTAATTTACCTTATAATGGCCCTTTTTTAAAAAATCAAAAGCAAAGGTCACTTTGCATAACTTAAGTGGTACATTTTATTTTTTAAATACACTGTTGAGTTAATTTGACAAGCATTAAAGAAATGAGAGACAAAATATAATATACGCAAAATCAGTTTAATTATAAAAAAATTGTTCTCACATCAAAGTTAGTGTATGTACAAAAACTATTTTCAATGCAGTCCTCAATATTTATATAAGGATTTATGAACTAATTATAGTTTTTAATGATGGTAATCCATGAATACACAAAAAAAAAGACGTTATTTCATGAACACACAAAGCAGAGTAAAATTAATTATCAAAAAATTTATGGAAAACCAAAATTCTTGAAAATAATTCTAAGAAACAAACGAAAACGTGTTGCAGGTTCAGTACCACAAAATATATTGAATGAAAATGATGGTAATTTACACTTTGATCAATCCCCACTAAGGGAGGATTACTTTTTGGCAAATAACAACAGCTTAAAAATGTGACTGGTTCCGTGTAACAAACAGTTTTATTTTTATTTTAAAAAATTTAAGTATCCTATGGAAATGTTTATTTGTTGTTCGAAATGTTAACTTGAAGACGTTTACTGAACTTGAAAGCATCAACAGTAAGAAAAATTATCAAGAGGATAGTGTTTTGTTTTATATATTTCACCTTGCCAAATAAGATAAGACTGTTTTTTAAATTTTTTATTGGATGCTAATGTAACGTCTTTCGGTTCTGTCACGTTAATGATCCTGCATAGCTAATGACCTACTAAAGAAGAGTAAAGGTGTGGGATTGGTTAAACCTCTGATATCCAGTTTAAAATTTATTTGGCTGACAGAAAAATAAGTGTATGTAGGCCTATATCAAAAACATGTTTTCGACCACTGGGCCCAAACCACTGAAATGCCCTAAACAGTAAAATCACCTTGGTTGCCCTTAAATATTAACACTACCCCTTGTTTCACACTAGAAAAATTGTCGTGACAGAGTCATGTCCTCATCAATTCTTCCCAAAGGGGGGCAAGTGGTGTTGTTCCTCAAAAACTTATAAAGTATTAAAAAAAATCCCAAGCAGCTCTGTCAGTAGAATTTAAGTCACATTTTAAAACTGCTACTTTTGCAGCATAAACTTCAGTGCATATAAATATTAAAACAACTGGATACATCTCTCTTTGTTAAATAGCATGCACATACGTCTTATTTTATCCATGGTTTATATTATTTGAATACATCATAGTAATGAACAGACTTCAACAAGGAGATAAAAAAAAAAGTGTTATCAAAAAGTTTTGAATTTCAGGTATCTCAGAGACACATCCCCACCCTCTTCTTTTTCAACATTTCTTAAAGTTTATATTTTAAACGAAATTCAAACTTAAAATAAAAAAAATAATACTTAATTGATCATTTGAATGAAAAAAAAAATTCATATTGGAGGCTATCGATGTATACTTACTTTATAGAATTGTTTAAAAAAATTATTTCAGTGGATTAAAAAAAAAAAAAAAAAAAAAAAATTAATAAAAGGGAGATTACTAATTTTTATTAAAAAAAATATGTCATATTGTAGAGATTTCTCCCCTTGCACTAAAATTAGACTTTAGATATTTGTTTTTCAGCGTGAAGAAACCACATAGTGAATCTGTTTTGGTCACTTGCTACTTGTTTACAGAAAAGGAGTGGATTGTCACGAAATTTGAATAAAAACCGGGATTTCTTTTAAGGCAGATATCTTGTGGATTTAATAATCATCATTATTTATTTATATATTTTTTTACAAAATCACATATGGTCTTATGATTCTTTACCAAACACGGCATTTATTCTTTGGATTCATGTAAGAGTCACTTGGACAGTTGAAGGCTTTGGCAAAATCTGGTGAATTTTGAGCAGACCCAATAACTCTGTTAGGGAAGAAGTGAAGATAATTATTTTTAAAGAGGATAAAACTGATTCTATATTTATTAATAGAGGAGGAAGAAATAACTGAAAAAAAAAAACAACAACAAAAAAAACCAAACACTTTGATTCAATTTGTAATTGTACTTGTACTGATAAAACTTTTTCTAGATTCCAATTCCGCTACTGAAAACTTTTATGACTATGGAATGTGTGTTTTTAATTTTGGGCTTAAAACTGATGGATGCATGAAAACTCATCAATTTTTTAACCACATTTTACTATATTTATTCAATAAGAAACAGTGTGATAAAAATATTTGATTATTTTATATATCTATACCAATATGTTCAAATCATTCCTCCATTTTTTTGATATAGAAATAAGTTCCAGAAATACCAGAAGCAATACCTGAATTCCCCAGGACTGTGCACACCTGTTCTTATTCTGTTCAGGGCCTCACCGTCTGTCATTAAATTACACCACAACTGGAAAGGAGAAGTAATTTTTAATTCATGCTATTCCTTCAGACTGCATCAATGAATAACAGGTACTTCATGAGAGCTTATTATTTTACAAATAAACAGAAGTCTTTTAAATTGAGACTATTTGTTCATTATCCAAGCCTTAAAAGTCTGTAAATCTAAAATTAACCAAATTGACAGTATTATTGACGTAAAGTTATTGTGGATGTTTTAGCAAACCTTAAAAATTAGTTGTCACTTTATCGATGTTGAATCAGCACTTATGTCTCCCACCTAGAAAAGGAAAAAATTCAATAAAGTTTGCACAAATTTTAAATCTTGTCTCACCTGAGCAAAGTTGATAAAGAAAAGTTGATCATGAGTAAAATTCAGGCCAGGTAAGAGTGATTCTTCCTTCCCTTGTAAACTGACCCAGTTTCTGTAGGCCTGCAAATTTAAAATACAACTTATATAAGTTTTCAATTAGGGATAGAGGTAAAGGTCAAATTATGGAAAAAGGGAAATGTAATGTTGGTTCTGTTTTGGTAGATGCTTTGGGATAAAGGCACTATAGGAGGGGCATTAGTGGAAGGGGTATCAAGGGGGTTGCATTAATCTCCAGAAAATACGCTGATCTATTTTTTGGTGTCATAAATATGCTAAAAGATGTTTGTGTGTCTTTTGTGCTGCACATTTTTCCAAAGCTTCATAAACTGTTTCCTCGGCTTGTCAAAAATTGCACTGACCTTGTAGGCTTGCTTGAGTCCACCATTGTCAGCAATATTTTCTCCCTGTGTGTTAATACCATTGAGCTGAAATTGGCAAGGGCTAACATCAGGTGATATAGTAGTTAGTTCGAAGATGTTGTAGTAGATGATGACATAGTCATTTTTAGATGTTATAGCAATGAAATTGTAGGTATATTACTTATGATGTAGAGATGAAAGTTGCTATTGTAGCTGTATAATTAACAGAGTGGTATTGATAACAAGAATGGTATTAAATTATTAATAGATTGAGTACAAACAGGTCTGAGAGAAGGCCCAGCCTACTTTTTGGTTAATCTGGGACACAGTAAAGTTTCCATACTGATCGATGATACATTGGGCCTTAATCTTGAAATTGTCCACTGCTGTCTGTGGCCACCACTGGGCTAGGTTACCATTCTTGTCATACTGTCGCCCTGAAAGGGATTCATTTCATAAACTGGAAGTATATAATGTTTAAAATTAACTTATTACGATAAAAACAGAGGGATGAAAAAGTGACCACCATTGCCATTGTACTTGAATATTTAAAATCGAGACAATCAAATTAATATAATTTTAGAGTTTAGAGGCTTAAAAAGTATCAGATAAAAATCAGAAACAACAGTGACTTTACTGAACCCGCGCATATATTTGTTTAGTTGTCATAGGACATCAATGAATGAATTGTTTACTACTAAGATAACAAGATACGATTACTTATATTTAGAACTATTTCTGACTGATCTACCTTGGATCATAATGAAATAATTAAAAAGGACTATCAATGAAATATGGTAATTTCAAATGAATTTCAGAAAGAAATGAAACAATCTCTAGTCAGAAAATGATAAAATTAATTTTACATCAGGTCATGCACTAAGAGGTTAGTGGCAAGCACAACTGTATGGGCTACAAAATAAAGTTAAGAATAGGCTTGGCAAAAATGTTTAAAGATAAAAAAAATCTATTTAGCAAGCATATCCTATATTAATTTTGCAACATTCATAGATAATCTAAAAGCTTGATATATGTTTTTCCTTAAATGCCTTCCCCTTCATTCTAATAGCAAAACAATGAGATCTAGTTAAATGTGTACAAATTTATTTAAGGAAGAAATTTGTGTACTGCTAAAGTGCTAAAAAATAAATAAAACAAATAAATAAAGCATATTTAAAAAAAACATTGCCAATGGAAAAAAAAACAACCATTTAATGAAGAAGAACACACAATATAGGTTAACATGAAATAACCGAAAAGAGACTTTTCAAGGAATGGAAGTAGAAGATGTTAATTATTAGTTTATTAAAAATAATAATAATGATAATAATTAATAAAGCAGCCCACTAGAAGAAAACAACAACAAAAAAACAAACATACAAACAAAAAAGCTATTGGCTAAGAAAATCTTTTATTATCGCTCGGAAATATAATGAAAATCAAGTTTGTAAATGAAAACTCTTAATATGTCAGATAGATTTTGATTTTAAAAATTTAATATAAAAATGCACTTTATTTTTTAGCCAGAAATTATATAAAGAATTTTGGCTCATTTGATCAGCAGTTTGTTTAAAATCTTTGCATTTTTAATAATTTTTAATGGATTACGATAAAACTGAATAAATTGCTTCATCAATAAAAAAATTGTGCAAGGTACAAGATTTTGTGCAGGTATATTGACAAGGGGGAGAAGCTGACTTTACCATTGTCATCAAATCCGTGGGTGATCTCATGTCCTATAAAATATCCGATGCCGCCATAGTTGAAAGACCTACAAGTTATTGCAGGAAGAGTGTATTTGTTTAGATAAACATGGGACAATATTTTAGTGGGAATACACTTATTATGTTAGTCAACCCTTTAAATACACTTTTCAAGTTAAATTTGTTGACAATTTAAGCTGAAGAATGCACACATAGAGATGAAGAAGAGCTTGATTAATGTGCATAAAACTATTAATAAAGCAAATAGCCATAAATTACAGTTTAATGAACTTAATGTTAATTTATTAATTACATATAGCTTAATTATCTAAATGTGGTCAAATTAGGATGAAATTGATAATGACACTTAAATTGGAGCACAAGTGGAAATAAAAATCTTCAATAAAATGTGTCTATCAAATTTAAAAAACACACATTTTTTTTTTTCAGTACGGTTTAGATAGGATTGCATGTTCTTAAATTGAAATGTTAAAAAAAACAACAACAAAACAAAGTAATCTTAATATTTATGAGTGGGGTCATAGGAAATCACAGTAATTTTGTGTGTGTGTTTGGGCCTAAATTTCAAAGGATAGAACCATTACTTGTATAAGATATCAAGCATTATAAGCAAGTGTGGTGGATAAATTAAACCATGATCTGCATCTGTAGGACCTGGAAGGGTTTTAAAAATATGTAAAGACTTTATAAAGACTTATATGGTGAAACTGAGTAACACTTATCAGAATTCTAGTCATGGAATGGTGAGATTAGAGAGCACTGTTGCTGCTGTGAAGAGTTGATCAAAGGAAATGCTCTGCTTCCACTTATTCAAAGGTGGATTTTCAACAATTTAAATCTTTAGATTGGTAGCAAAACTGTGTCATCATTAAAGTTGATGACAGTTTACAAAAAGCACATGTAAGTGCATTGTTGCAATTTCTTTGCATTTCATTGGACTTTTTTTTAGCACTGGTTTCCTTTGCTTAAAATCCCACAAATAAAGATACATTTTAATGATTAAAACAAACAAAGTTTGATTCTGTCATACAGCCATTGTTTTGATTTAACTTCTTAATGAGTTAAATAATCCTGAAAATTAAATTAAAACTTTTTTAAATACTAATTATTAAGTCAAAAAAAAGCTTATCTTACAATAAAAAGGTGATCCATACCTTGATTATCAATTGATAACAATGATGAGAAATATGGAAAGGGTATTTTCATGCATGTCTATTTGTTAGTAATTAAATATTAGGACAATATTTAAAATTTAGGGGACCTTTATTGATCATTGGGTTAGTTGCCAGTTTAAAAATTGCTATACGGCTTTGAATTAAAGTGCGGCCCGCTATCCCTTCATAAAAAGCATTTGTTCATTTTATGTTTCATGCAAATTGTTGAGGGCGTTTCCCTCACCTCTGTCATCAAAACCATGAGTGATTTCATGGCCGATCACCACACCTATACCTCCAAAGTTTAAGGACCTGAGAATGGCAGGAAATGTGTTCATGTTGTATAATTTTCTGAACTTCTGAGGATTTCGGATTGTAGTTTAATCATTTGATATGTGATGCACTTCATTAGAAAAGGGTCTGATGGTTAGTGAAATTTAAAATTGTTACTGGTTTTGATTTAAATGTTGATTTCCAAATAGTGCAGGGTGGTTTTAACATGTTGTAAAATTGGTGGACACAGTGTTTAGATTAAATTTGATATCAGCGCTGGAAAGTTTTATGTGGCGTTAAATTATATAGGGTTGAATATTGTATTTCAGGTTTAAGCCACAATATGTTTTTTTTTAACCTATACTCTCGATTTGTAGCTAGTCTACTAGCAGGCACAACATCACTAAACCTTAAACTAATTATTGTTAACATACATAGAATATATATTTCTAACAAAATGTTAACCTACATAGGATATGTCTTGCTAAAAAATGGAGGTTGGAGAATTCCAGCAGGAAACACTGTAAACAAGACAAATAAAAAATCAATTAGAAAATAAATCTAAATGGGTCAAACTTAATGATTAGTCAAAGAGATACTTCCACTAAGGTGGATAATTCCCCATAAGGTGTGTATTATAATAAACATTTTTTTGTTGTTGATTTAGTTTCTTTTTTAAGGTTATAATCCTATAAACATATTCAAATGGGAATGTTTGTGAGCTTACTTCAAAGAATCCACTAATCTAATAAATAAATATTATAAAACATACTAGATTTGATCTAAAAAAATTGTCTAATTGTGTCCCCAAAATTCTGTGATATCCTGCCAGTTGTTTTATAAATGGAATCTGTGACTTCATATCTTTAACAATGTAGGCCTAATTATTTAAAGTGGATGAGAGTCGTATGGCATGGCTTGGTCCCTTAATTCCAAATAATGATATTTAATTTTTTTTTGGACACACAATCACTCACAAATCTGATTCTTCACTGCGCTGTAGTATGCATTTACTGTTGGAGGTGGTGTGTCCCATCTGGGAAAATAATCATTTTAAAAATCATCAGAAACTTATATTAAAAAAAAAAAAATTAATTAATATGGACTTTTTCATTTGAAAGGAACATATAAATATAATCAATGGTTTAATGTGGCTGTGGCTTTTTGATATAGCCTACATGGTAACTGATTACAGACTAGACTATATAATAAATATGCTGTAATTAATCTATCATTCTCATGGCTTGAACGCAGTCTCTACTCTATTTTCCTTTTACATATAATAAGCTGTTATATAGGCCTATACTGTTCTTAATATTTCATTCACATGGTCTCTACTCTATGTCCCTTTAACATACACAAAATATAAATCATTGATGTAACAAATGATAAATAAATGAATTAAAGTTTTAAAAATACCACAAGAAACTGTTTAGTCTGTTGAAAGTAAAGAATCATTTTAAAATTTCTATGTAATATTTTTAAAGCCCAGATGGTACCAGCAAGGCAGTGTCTACACGTCCGGCCACCGGACAAATAGAGCGGGAGGTATTCTTCCAGCCGGCATATCACATGACCGCCGGACGACTAGTAAGCGTTATTATTTCGGCAGACATGTCATGTGACAAGAGGTCACCGGCAAAATAAAAAAAAAAAAATGTCAGCTATCTTGGTTTAAATATCTTATAAAGCTCTACCTAGGAGCCGAAATTTAAAATATGAACCAAACAAGATAAGACCAATAGGGGTACTTTCCAGTCAATAGATCTACTGTCAAAAAACATTTTATTTTAGGCTATTTTCTCACGCAATATTAATTGCGTGAGAAATAGGCTACCCCAACACCACATTTTATTGGTCCTATATTAAGATGTAGGCGTAGGGTCCATTTCTTTGTGAACTTTCAACCTCTCCGCCTTACTTATTCATCATCCTCACCATCATTTTTATCTTCTCTCTCTAGCTCTCAGTATTCCTTCCTTCTAGTATGCATTGCCTCCCCCTCCCCAACCACATATTTCTTGAAATGAAGGGTATACTCTGAGCCCACCAGGCATCTCCGAAACCAGTTTTATGATGACAATGGTCACGTGTTACGGCGGTCATGTGACCTGGTCGTCGGACGAATATCCCGAGAATTATTCGTCCGGTCGCCGGACATGTAGACACTTCGCACCAGAAAATAAAGTTTGGCCAAATGCCTGTAATTAAAGTTGAAGAAGGTTAATTAAGTTGTAGTGGTTAAAAGAAATCTTTACTTTTCCTTGTCGACAGGTTGCCTGAGGTCCCGCATGAGCTGGTTGAAACTTTCTCTTTCATTCTTCAAAACATTTTCAAAATACTCATCCTTGTTGAAAGTCAGCTGTTAGGGGAACAAACAAAAAGTAAATTAACGACATCCATGCCCCATAATACGAAAACAGTGGCGGTGGTTACGCAGAGTGGACTTCCGGCCAGTTGGGCAGCTAATCCTAATTGAGGAGTTGAGAACTAAAGAACCCCCGTCACCAGAGTTGAAAGATGGAAGCCAATTTGTCATCGGGTTAAAAATTATCTGGTGATGCCATCGCAATGTAAGTTTAAATAAAAGTGACTAATACAATAATTTAAAAAAAACAACAAAACAACAACACAAAATTATAGGATTGAACATGGGGCACTACAAGTCATTATTCTTTCAAATGTTTAAAAAAAGGTGAAATTTCTGAAACCTCTTTTCAAACACTCAATGTAAAAGATGTAGAGACAAAACTGCTCTTAATTACAGAGTTAAAATTATTCTTATATAAGCAGGTGATGACATTTTATAGTCTTTATATGAGTATATGATATATTTATTTTCTGGAAGAGAACTCACATTCGTATAGAACTCCTCAAGATAAGTGTCATTCATGACCTCCTTCGGGTATCCAATTTTCGATGCGATATTTTCATTCTGAAAGAAACATGTTTTAACTGGTAATTGTCTAACAAACGAATCTATTGCCTGCCTGTTATGATGTAGATTTATACATTGTCAGATATAAAAACAAAACAAAAATCAAATACAAGTCTGCCTAAAATTGTGGCCTTTCACTTGAACTACGCCAATAATGAGCTTTAAGTCTGCCTAAAATTGTGGCCTTTCACTTGAACTACGCCAATAATGAGCTTTAAGTCTGCCTAAAATTGTGGCCTTTCACTTGAACTACGCCAATAATGAGCTCTGTGGATGGGGCTTAATGTCAAGTAAATATTCGCTGAGGTATTTTCAGTGATAACCAGGTTAGCAGATTGTTACTGAGCATACCCCAGGTTAGCAGAGTTTGTGCTGAACATACCCCAGGTTAGCAGAGTTTGTGCTGAACATACCCCAGGTTAGCAGAGTTTGTGCTAAACATACCCCAGGTTAGCAGAGTTTGAACTGTACATACCACAGGTTAGCAGAGTTTTAACTGGGTCAAATTTAAAAAAATGCGGAACTTTTTGATACACTTCGATAAAAAATATTTCATGACGTGCATATTTGAAACAAAATGTAATTTAAGACGGCTCATACATCAGGCCCTACTGTGATAAGTTACAATAGTGTTTGTGTAGTATGAATATGTTAGACATACATCAGGCCCTACTGTGTACTGTGGTAAGTTACAATAGTGTTTGTGTAGTATGAATATGTTAGACATACATCAGGCCCTACTGTGATAAGTTACAATAGTGTTTGTGTAGTATGAATATGTTATTATTTTTATGTTACGTGATGTTAAAAGATTTTCATACTTATTTTTTTTTAAAAAATATTTAATCGGCTCAATTTAAAAAAACACTGCATAACAAAGAGTTGAACATCTAAATACAAAAAACAAACGATGCGAAAGCTAGTGAAATATTGAACCATTTAACTTTTGTATTCGATTACTTTTTCATACAGAAAAACGCACATACACAATCAACTATATAAAATTTAGCCTTTTGTATGAGGCAGTGATGTTAGATCAATGTGGTAATCAGGGCCGTGACGAGTAAAAATAGCGCCCTAGGCAAAGCCTGGAAGTGGCACCCTTACATTAAATGGAAAAACGTTCCGCCCGTTGCGGACAAGTTAAAAGAAAATTTTGGAGCTCCGTGTGAAGTAAATCATCATCATCAGTGGCACTAAAGCCAAAGTAGGGCCTTTGACTGCTCCACACATTCTTTCATTCAGACATCATTATCAATGGCACAATCGCCGAAGTAGGGCCCTGGCCTGCTCCACCACATCCTTCCATTCAGACATCATCATCTGTGGCGCTACAGCCGAAGTAGGGCCCTGGCCTGTTTCACCACACCCTTACATTCGGATCGATCGATGGCTTTCTGCCCCCACGCGCAAACCCCCATGTTTTTGTTCAGGCATAGGTCAAAATCCAAAATTATCAGTTTGTTTTTTCGAATGAGGTTTAGATTTCGTAACATTTGATTTTTTACGTGACAGGGTCGTTAGCCCCGCGCATAACCGCCTCGAAGGATGCCCCTTGCAGCTCTCAGGGTAGCTCCCTTTGTAGTGGGTCGGGTCCTTAGCCTGTGTGGATCCCTCCACTTCCTACAAGGCAGTAGGTTTTGATTTTTGTACGCCTCGGGTATTTCATTTCTCCTGTACACACCATCTCTGGTGGGCTTGCCTCTATCCGCCACATGGGGGAGGCGCTCGATTGAAGATCAGTATCTCCTCGCGAGCCTTGTTAAGTACACGACATTTCATCGTTTAATTTACTATAAATTCATATCTTAATGATTGTGGCGCACTCTGGTGCTGGTGCTATGGCCAAGTGCTCCCTTCGCACCCCCCCCCCTTTCTCACGAAATAAGCATCCCAAGATCACAAACACATGTCTCTCAATGGACTCATTCAAAACAACAACAACAACAACAAAAAAAAAAAAAAAACAAAAACAACAAACAAAAACACCCGGGGGGGGGGGGAGAAAGACTAGGGAGTGGTCTTTTGAAAGACATAGATCGCTTATATTGTATTTATGTGTTCTTCGTTGTCCCACGCGAAGATGACTAAGACAAATTTCAACTTGACTATATATAATATGTATTTCGTTTAAAGTGAGGAAGAGTAGCCATCGTAACCCTAACTCCGGGTTGTTCGATCTCCTACTCCAGGTTAACGAGTGCCATCCACCCGGGGTGCTGGGGACGTTTTTGTTGTTGTGGCTTTTGCCGCTGTTTAGATCACTCTGCCACCGCGCAACCACGGCTACCTTATGAATGCTCGTAGACAGACGGGTCTACAGATGGTCACGCCACTGAAGGAAAAACACTCGATATCTAGGGTGGCTGCATTTGGATTTTGGGGAGGGGGAGGTGGTCCCTAGCCTTTGTGGATCCCTCCACAGGGCAGTAGGTGCTGGTTTTGTTCCACGCCTGGTATTTTATTTCGATAAGATGGGTAGTCAACATAATTCACTGGAGGTCAACTCAATGCCAGGGGAGGGGTGGGCAGTAACAGGTGAAGAGTGAACAAAATGTGTCATATAGCTGTGTGGCGAACGTAAATAAACAAAAGCGAGGGAAAATGTGTCCTATAGCTGTGTGGCGAACGTACATAAAGAGAGAGAGAGAGCGAGAGAGAGGAAAAAAAATGTGTCCTATAGCTGTGTCACGAACGTACATAAAGAGAGAGAGAGCGAGAGAGAGGAAAAAAAGTGTCATATAGCTGTGTCGCGAACGTACATAAAGAGAGAGAGAGAGAGGGGGAAAAATGTGTCATATACGTATGGCGAACGTACATAAACAAAGAAAGGGGAAAATGTGTCATAAATCTGTGTTGCAAACGTACATAAAAAAGAAGAGGGGAAAATTGTGTCATACAGCTGTGTCGCAAATGTACATAAACAAAGAAAGGGAATGAGGGAAAAATGTATCATATATCAGTGTGGCGAACGTACATAAACAAAGAGAGGGGAAACAAACTTTTATAAAAAAAAAACAGTTAAAATGCGATAGAAAGTAAACACTATTATTTTTCCTTCATTATAGAATTAAAATTGTTATCTTTAAAGTATCGGCAAAAGTAGAATTATTTACATTTATAAATGTCGAATGCTTACAAAATCCCAATTAAAGTAAATTAATGTTTACCTAGGAATAAAACTAAAAAGTAGATCGGAGCTCACCTACCTATCTGTTCACTCAACTGCGAAGGAGACGCGGTGAACCATTATAATTTGAGTGTCCGTTGATTATTTTTTTTCTCCAGCCGTTCACCAGGTGAACACTGTACGAGAAAGACTCAGTCTTAAAATGTCACGTGTGTAAAAAAAAAAAAAAACAACCCAAAAAAACAGCACGCCACAAGATGGAAATGCGAGGAGAGAGAAAGTAACCAGGTGAAAACTGTACGAGAAAAACTTAGTCTTAAAATGTCACGTGTGTAAAAAAAAAAAAAAACAACCCAAAAAAACAGCACGCCACAAGATGGAAATGCGAGGAGAGAGAAAGTATTTTTTTTTTACGGTCAATATGACAGGAGCGATGTCTAACCTTATCTTTGGCCACCTTCTTGGTCTCAGCATCCATCCAGTCAAGGTCGTCCAGCAGACTATTGAACGACTTCTGTAGGCCAGCAATCATGATATGGGACTGTAATTGTCAAATGTGATATTTAGAAATAGGTCACTTCCTGGATATCTACACATTACACAACCCACTCTGTTGTTTCGGGGGGTTATTCAATTTTATAAACAATAATAATACATGGAACACATGTTTTAGTAATTCAAAACATTTCAACTCTCTCAAGTCCCTCTTTAAAAAAAAAAAAAATGTTTGCATTTTTATTAAAAAATTATTTGTTCCAATTAAAAAAAAAAAAAAAAAAAATTAAAAAAANAAAACTTATAATTTTTCTTGATTTAAAAAAAACAACAAAAAACTTTCAATTTTTCTTACTTTTTCAAAACTCATAATTTTTTTTTATTGACTTTTAAAACTTATAATTTTTCTTGATTTAAAAAAAACAACAAAAAACTTTCAATTTTTCTTACTTTTTCAAAACTCATAATTTTTTTTTATTGACTTTTAAAACTTATAATTTTTCTTGATTTAAAAAAAACAACAAAAAACTTTCAATTTTTCTTACTTTTTCAAAACTCATAATTTTTTTTTATTGACTTTTAAAACTTATAATTTTTCTTGATTTAAAAAAAACAACAAAAAACTTTCAATTTTTCTTACTTTTTCAAAACTCATAATTTTTTTTTATTGACTTTTAAAACTTATAATTTTTCTTGATTTAAAAAAAACAACAAAAAACTTTCAATTTTTCTTACTTTTTCAAAACTCATAATTTTTTTTTATTGACTTTTAAAACTTATAATTTTTCTTGATTTAAAAAAAACAACAAAAAACTTTCAATTTTTCTTACTTTTTTTTCTTCAAAACCAACAAAAGTTTCTTGATTTTCAAAACTTACAACGTTTCTTGCATCCGTATCAAAATTATCTTTGATAAACATTCGACCCACGGCTAAACTCATTTCAGAGGTTGTGTAAGCCCCACACCTTCTGAACCTCGCGCGATCTGTTTCAGTACCGTAGAGAGTCTAAAATGGGGACAAAAAAAAATACACTCAGATACAACGGCTGTTCTAAATATGGTGAAAGATTGACATTAAACTAAATTCAGGCTTTATCCTTAAATCCTGTAAATTACCCAGTTTGCTCTAAGCATCTCCTTACCTTAGCTAAGAGACCGCGCAAGTGAATAGATAGGAATTTTAAAACAAGAAAATCGGCTTTAAAAAAATTGCTTGTAGCAGAAATTTTTTTAAATAAAACTCAAGATTTCAGCTTATCGAAATATTTATCTAGCCCACATACTTCAATTAAGCGTAGTTTTTTAAAAAAAAAAACTTTAAAAAAAAAAAAAAAAAAAAAAAAAAACCTGTTCAAAGCTACCTTTTTGTACGAGTTCATCAAGCCTTTGTACTTGTCTCCCAGGGTTCCAATAAAGTTGACTATAAGGCGCCACACAAGGTAATTGGCAACTGTCCTAAAATAATTTAAACATTAACTTCTTATTAAATGTTTGGAATAGGTCATGAGTAGTCTCCAATACAGATTACGCTTGTAACACGTCTGCTTCCATTTCTGGATAGCGCAAAATATATGCCCCATAACTAGGACTACTACACTAAATGATATTTCAAAACAATAACACAACTGCATTTGGTTGCGTAATATTTTCTTTTCTTTTCGGAAAATGAAGTCATCTCAATTCAAATATAGCGTAATAAATATTCTGTTTAAAAGTGGTTGTTTAAAAGTGGTTGAGACATCAGAATATTTAATATAATTCATGGGTGTGAAATGAAAAGTATGCAGTTACGTATCATAAGGGGGGGGAGGGGTGTAGCAAATTTTGGGATTCTTAGATGTGCATTACTCGAGTTCATGTTTTGTCAAGTATTTTTAGTAGATGGCAAGTTCACGTATTGCTGTGGTATTGCTGTCGCCAATGTTTGGCGAGCTATAACTAGTATTGATTGTTACAAGTGACGAAATCTGCTGTATTTCCATCATGTTTTATCAAGAAGCGCTAGAAAAAAGAATCATAAAACCACTACAAATTTTACCTCTTGGGTGTTTTCTCAAGGAGACCCATGAGTCTCTGGAAGTAGAGTGGCGACTGGTTGATGACGACTTCATATTCGGTAACGTCCGTGATGCCGATCTCAGGAAGCATGAACACTTCATTCACGTACCTCACAAAATCGAATTGCTGGAAACAAAAACAACACGACTCATTATAATAGTGTAAACATCTTATCCAGATTTTTAGTTTGAAAAAAAAACTTTAGTGTTGCTCTAATTGAAAAAAAAAAGTATTCAAATACGAATTCTTCATACTGTGTTCAAACTTTTTATTTCTATTTGACAATAAATATTTATGTTATGGGGACCGGCAGTGTTAGGCATGCGGACCTGTGAAGGTCCACGGACCGCCATTTACGGACCACTGCTCTGACTAGTCCAAGTCATTTTCAAAAATTTAATTCAATCAAAACAACTAGAAACATATCTATGATTGCCACAGATTGTGTATATAATTAAATGACATTTGAACGATTATTTTTAATCTAGTTTCAAGTACCTTGAAAATTTAAATTCAGTTTAAAAAGTCAAAAGTTTTCAATTGCTACTTCTTTATTTCATAATGAATGAAATAGAAATCCCTTGTTGAATCCTTCTACTGACCTGACTATAGTTGCCTTGAACTTCCGCCAATGTCATAGGGTTGTAAAGGGCATTGTTGTCTCGTCTGTTCTCATCAGGCACAGAAATCTGGACATGAAATAGAATGATTAATACAAATTGACATTAGACTCATCCGAGCCTTTGTCTACTTTCAAAATTCACCTTTATTCAGAACCACCACGTGACTTTTGGAAGCCAAATGTCTTTTTTTTTTTTTTTTTGGTTTTGTGCGACCGCTTCCTCCCCCACCCCTTCTTTGAAAGGTGATAGTTTCATTTTATTTTTTTAAATCACGAATGTGAGCCCTTTAATTATCTGAGGCCCC